GGGGGGGGGGGGGGGGGGGTGCGGGAGCTGTGGAGGAATCCCGGGGATGCTCTGGCTGCAACAGTTTTCTACCTTGTTGCCTCAGGATTGTCACTCACCTAAGCAGGAGATCTGGGGTGCGTCTTTACCCTGGAGGTCTGTCATCTCGGTAACCCGTGACCCGTTCTCCTCTTCAGGTGAGGGCTGAGCTGGCTGAGCTGCAAGGTCATCTGTTCACAAAGAGGTAGGATACCTTCAATAGTGACCTGCTGTTACAGGTGACCAGGGCAGGCCCAGTGAGGTAACCCCTGTCCAGCCCAAGAGACTGAGGAGAGAGAGCCACTGAGATCTGACACAGACCACTGGGGCTATAGAACTGGGCAAGGGTGAAAGGCAGCATACGACAGAGCAGGCCAGGGCTGAGGACCGTCCCTCTGAGGCCTACTGAATACACGTGAAAGGGCAACTGAAGCGAGAATGGTTGGAAGCTGAGGAAACACTGAAATAATGTCGTGTTTGGTTTGTGGGACAGAGCCTAAGAGCCGAATCTACATGTTAGGACAGCCAGGTCACCCACAAGCTCCCTGTGGTCCTGTACAGATAGCTTCCTGTCAAGGTAAGAGGTAAAGAGGACAGATTCAGCCACACAGGTGGTGTCTTTCACTCGGACTGAGGCCCCCACCCACCTTCCATATACTTGGCTGCATGAAGAGCTAGGTCTTACTTGGCGGCATGGAGACCCCGTAGTCCTCCCCAATGATGAATTCTCCATAGAAACCAGTCTGCGCCGGGTCCAGAAGGGACCAGTCTTCTTCTGAGAAGCATAAGATCATGTCCTTAAATGGAGAAACTCGGCTCTGAAAGCACAGAGCAGGGCTGTCAGCTGGGGAGGAGCAGGGCCCTTGGGTTTATCAGCTGTGATGACCAGATGCCAGGGTCAGGTGACATGTGACACGAGGCATTTATGGCTGATGACTTCAGAGGCCAGAAACCAAGACCGAGGCATAGCAGACGCGCCTCTGGCAACAGCCTACTGGTTCTTTTTTTGTTTTGTTTTGTTTTTTTGTTTAAAGACCGAGGCTCTTTGCTGGACAGTGGCGGCACAGGTTTTTAATCCCAGCACTCAGGAGACAGAGGCAAGTGGATCTTGGTGAGTTCGAAGCCAGCCTGGTCTACGGAGTGAGTTCCAGGACAGCCAGGGTTATTATACAGAAAAACCCTGTCTTGCAGGAGGTGGCCAGGGGAGAAGACCCAGGGTCCTTACACGGTGGAAGTGACAAAGAAGCTGTCTAGGGTTCAGTATTATTACATTTTCACCATGCCTACCACCTCTAGCCCTTGGGGTTGGTAAAAAGGACAAATGGAATTAAGACTCAGCTAAATTTATGGGAACTTCCAACATTGCTTGGCCCAAAGCCTGACCTTCAGTTATCTGCAATTGCAGATCCACCCCTTTGGGAAACACAGATATTTGAGCATCCTCCTCTGGGGCCGGAGGCTCTTTAGCTACTGAGAAGGGAAGCCTTGGGCATTGCCAAGAACTCATTAAGGCTGTTAAGGGAAAACCATCTTTTATGTTGTAACAAGGAGTGACCTTCTACCTGAAAGTCCAGGTTGGTGGTTTCATTTACAGGGAACAAACGGCTCTTGGAAGAAACTGCTTACAACCTCCTGGAGAGGAGGCTTCACACGCTTGGGGAGGACATCTGCAGCCGACCTGACAAGGTCCCTGGGATGTCGGCACTAGCTCCGAGCTTCTTTCTGACAGGGAAATGAGCGCTAGCCTGAGAATGACACTTTTGCCCAAGGTCGGGGTGAGTCTTGAGCTGCTGATTCTTTTTTCTTTTAAATCTATTTTTTTGTGTATGACTGTTTTGCCTGTCTGTGTCTATCTGTACCATGAGAATGCTTGGTGCCCTCAGAGGTCAAGAGGCCATTGGATCCCCTGGAGCTGGTTACAGACAGTTGTGAGTTGCCACATGGATGCTAGGAACTGGACCTAGGTCTTCTGAAAGAGTGACAAGTGCTCTTAACCTCTGAGCTATCTCTCCAGCCCCTCATGCTGGACCCCCTTTGCTTACTCTATAGTTACTATGCTAATTTTGATCTTGAGATTTTTTTTTTTTTTTTTTGGTTTTTCAAGACAGGGTTTCTCTGTAGCTTTGGAGCCTGTCCTGGACTAGCTCTGTAGACCAGGCTGGCCTCGAACTCACAGAGATCCACCTGCTTCTGCCTCCCGAGTGCTGGGATTAAAGGTGTGCACCACCACCGCCCGGCACGAGATTATTTTTTTATTTTGATTGTAATTTTGATTATGCTATATAAAGCCAGTTAGTGTCCTTGGGTTTTAGACTGTTATTATTATTTTTTTTTTTTTTTGGTTTTTCGAGACAGGGTTTCTCTGCGTAGCTTTGCGCCTTTCCTGGAGCTCACTTGGTAGCCCAGGCTGGCCTCGAACTCACAGAGATCCACCTGGCTCTGCCTCCCGAGTGCTGGGATTAAAGGCGTGCGCCACCACCGCCCGGCTAGACTGTTATTTTAAGCCACTAAAAATAACAAAAGGTTTAATTAAAAAAATTTTTTTGTGGGGGCAGTTTTTTGAGACAGGGTTTCTCTGTGTAGCTTTGGTGTCTTTCCTGAAACTCACTTTGTAGCCCAGGCTAGCCTCGAACTCACAGAGATCCTCCTGGCTCTGCCTCCCAAGTGCTGGATTAAAAGTGTGTGTCACCACCACCTGGCTAGTAAAAAACTTTAAAAGATTTATTTTATGTTGAAGGGTGGTCTGCTTGCACGTCTATGCACCATATGCATGCAGTGCCTGTAATGGCCAGAAGAGGGCATCAGGTCCCTGGGACTGGTGTTAACAGACAGTTGTCAGCTGCCATGTAGGTCCCCTAAGAGCAGCCAGTACTAACCACTGAAGCATCTCTCTAGGCTTTTTTGTTTTGTTTCTTGTTGTTTGGGACAAGTCTCACTGTGTAGAGCTAATTCGCCTGCCTTAGCCTCCCAAGCACTTGGATTAATGGGGTATGCTACCATGCTGGGTTGCTAAGGTTTTGATGGACAGTTATTATCTCATTCCTTTTGCCAAGATACAGAAAGTTGGTTGCTCAATCAGAATCTCACCATCTCCAGAAAATGTTAGGTCTGCCACCCACCCGAAAAGCTCTCACAGCAGCTGTCCGCAGTACCTCCTCCTCTTCCTCCTCCTCCTCCTCCTCCTCAGGACCACCAGTCAAAACCAAGAGATGCAGGCTCCAACCTCACATCTTCTGCCTAGCCCATCAGTAGATCTAGTCAACCCATGCCAAGTGCTCATACTACGCTCTTACTAACCCCCAAAACCTACCACAGTATGACCAAACAGGCAGACGCTGAACTGAAAACAAAATTCCTCAACAGACTGTCTAAGAAGGGAGTCCAGACAGACTGGATGCTGCAATGTGACCCGCAGCTTAATCACCAAGTCATACAAAACAAGACAAATCTGTGGTGTGGGGAGAAGACTGCCACCCATGGGTCCTGAGACAATCCAGGATGGATCACAACAGACAGTGCACCTGTATCCATACCTGGCTCAGAGGAAACCAAGCAATTCATTTTCTGTGGGGACTTGATTTGGCCAAAATCTTTCAAGTATTTACCAGGAACAGGAGGCTGGCTTGAGCTCCTCTGGAAGAGCCCTTTTGCAATGATGATGTGCTACTTCTCATGTCAACATGGGTCAGAAACCTTCCTGCTTGTTGCAAGGGTGGCCTCTTCAATAGACCATTAAAAAGCCAGTAGCAACTGGGTAGCGGCACAGGCCTTCAATCCCAGCACTTAGGAGGCAAAAGCAGGCGGATCTCTGTGAGTTCAAGGCCAGCCTGGTCTACAGAGTGGGTTCCAGGACAACTAGGACTATACAGAGAAACCCTAAGAAAACAAACAAACAAACAAAAAAAACCCAGTGGCTAGACAACCAAATTGCCTTGTGGTGTATACATTAACAGAGTAAGGAGGTGCACTGGTTGAGTATCTTGCTGTGTGGGCAACAAATTCCCATGTGGGAAATATTAGACAAGAAACTAAGCAGCTCCCCCAGGTCTCATGGACTTACTCACACTTAGTCTGTTAGTATTTTTTTAAGTTAATTACTAAATATTTTCACTGTTCAGAAAAACCAAACTATTCTAGGCTGGCTTAGCAGATCTATACTGCAGGTCCTTTGACTGTCATAATCTCTAAATGCTGAACAGTTTCTCTCTCCCATTTGGTAGACCAAATTCCAGGCATATGCTTGCTTAAAAAAATTGAACTACCTTCCTACGCCTTTCCAAAAGAAGCCACTTCTAAAAATACAGAACAGGCCTCATGGTGACTAGATATTCTCTGCCCACCTTCCTCTCTCCTACCACTTGTGGTAACTAGGCTAAAGGATACGTCACAGATCTCCTCTACCAACCACTCTTCCCTATAGAATATGACTTCCTAGGAAAAAGCCTTCCCCAAAGAGGATGAGACTGAATACAGATTGCTTAGAGCCCAGGAAAATATGGTAGTCATCTGGGAGGCTTTCTCTGAAAGAGTCCAGTGGAAAGGGTCGGGGAGGTCTGGAAAGATGGTTCTTCAGATAAAAACAGTTGTTTTTACAGAGGACCCGAATTTGATTCCTAGCACCCCCATGGTACACATGCATACATACAAAATACACCTAAAAATAAACAAATAAAAAAGAGGAAATGGTAGAAAAAAATTCTGAGGTGTTCTGAGCCACAGGCCAGAGAATGGAGAGAAGGGACTGAACCATTTTTAACTCAGTTTCAGGCTAAACCAGCAAAGAAGAAAACAATCTATCCACGTTGCTTTCCTCTGCTCAAGTTCTATCAAGGTCACAGCATTCTGCTTTTGGAAACAACCAGCCGGGTAGTAGCAAGGGTTAAGAGCCAGACAGGGCAGCACCATACCTTCACATCTATAATCCTGCTAGCACTTGGGAGCCTGAGGCAGAAAGATGGTCCTGAGTGCCGGGCTAGCCTGGCCTACAGTGTAAGAATCTGCCTCAGAAAAGAAAAAAAAAAAAAAAAAGAGGAAAAAACAAGACCTTTGTCTTCATGGACTAGTGTCCTTCCCATTGAGAGTGTCTGTCCTGTCCCTGTAGTCTACCAGCAGTGAAGGCTCAGTATGAACCACCTGTTTCCCTCTCTCAAAATCTCAAGAAGGAGTTCCTTAGCCTCAGGTCCTAAGGACACTTTCAGGAATGTGTCACAGTCCTCCATCTTCGGTTCCCATCTGGGCAGTTCCTTGTTCTTTTAAAACATTAAAAAACCTTTCAGTTTGTTTTATGCATGTGAGAACTTGGCCTGTCTGTGTACCACTTGAGCACCTGGTGCCTAAGAAGGCAGAAGAGGGCGCTGATACCAGGGAACTGGAGTTACAGATGGCTGTGAGCTGCCATGTGGGTGCAGGGAATCAAATCCAGGGCCTCTGGAAGAACAGTCAGTTTCCCTTAACTGCAGCTCCACTTCTTGACTGTCAGGGCCTTTCACTGCGTCCTTCTGAGACAGAAGGGACAAGGCAAGTCTCTGAGGGCTATCTGTGTATACATGTACATGCACATACATTTGCATAAGTGTGGGTGTTAACAGAGACCAAAGGTAACCTCAGTTGTTATTCCCATCTACCTTTATAGTTTTTGGTTGTCATTGTTGTTGATAGATAAGGGCCTCACCCTGGCCTGGAATTCACCAAGTGAATGAAAAGAAGAAATAAAAAGGAAAGTACGTGACTGTTCCGAGGTATGGTGGAGGAAAGTTTATTGTAGCTATGTGGGATAGCCAGAGGCAGACACATCTGGGAGAGTCCAGAGTGGACATGACCAGACTGAGCTGGGCCATGTGGGGTAGGGAAGGAAGAAGGGAGAGAGGGGAACCAGGGGCAGCAGCTAGGAGGCCAAAGATCCAAAAGGGACAAACCAAATGTGTGGATTATATAGGGAAGAGCCTCTGGGGAAGGGCAGCCCAGGCCCTGGGCTGGAGAGTTCAGGGTAGAGGGCAGGTATGCTGCTATCCATACCCTCTAACAGGTAGGAACTGAGGGATGCTGGGAGAACCAGGGGGGTAGGTCCAGCTTAGACATGTTGAATAGGCCCTCAGCATTTGTTGGGCGGGGGGCGTTGAAACTTAACACTAAGTAGACTATGGGAGCCCAGGGATCCACCTGTTTTGGCCTCCCTGGTACTGAGATGAAGTGTGTACTACTACTGCACCTGGCTTTTTTATGTGGGTTCGGAGATTGAGTTGAGGTCTTCATGCTAGCAAGATAACTTTACCAACTAAGCAATCTCCCCAGCCCTATCTGGGGCCTTTTTTGTGAAAGCACCAACTTCATCCTTGAGGACTATGAGTTTATGACCTCATGACCATCCCCAAAACTCTCCCTTTTAACTCAGAACCTAGGGTACCAAACACTGAGGCCATGGCACAGAAAGTGATGCTACAGAAAGAAGAGGAAGACACAAGCTGGGGCTTTGGATGGGACTCCCAGCCCAGCTACCTCACACTCATGACTGATGGCAGGCACAGACAAAAAGATGTAATTAAAACTCTTTAAAAAAAAAAAAAAAAAAGCATAAAATGACCTTCAGTTTATGTATAAGATGTATATGAAACAAATGAATTACATGCATAAACTTGGGTCTTATTCCAAGTTCTCATTTTGTTTTGTTTTCCAAGACAGGGTTTCTCTGTGTAATAGCTCTGGCTGTCTTGGAACTCACTTTGTAGACCAGGCTGACCTTGAACTCAGAGATACGCCTGCCTCCCAGAGTGCTGGGATACAAAGCCACCACCACCACCCCAGCCCAAGTTTTCATTTTATGAATGCAAATATTTCAACATCTGCCCCAAACTTAAGGGCCCTAAGCATTTTGGAGGGGGGCTGTCAACTCTGCATGTCCTTAGTTCTCAACAGTCTTCTGCTGGTGCAGCCCTATGCCCCGTGGAGGACTCCCTGGGGGAAGGTCACACCGTAGTGTCCCACAAGGCAGTAGAAAGGGCAGTGAGAAGGGAAAAGCTAAGGTCTGCTGAGCACCTCAGTAAATGAAGAAACCGGGCTGGAGAGAAATGCACTCCACCTGTGAGACCAGATCCCGGCTCCACCCTCTCCGAACACCAGGCCCTCCCCCAACACTGAAGCAAGCAAACGTGACCCAGGACACAGACAGGACACCAAGTCTTGCCGCCCCATGTGATCAAGACGTGGTCACAGGTCACATGATGGTGCTGCAACTGCTCCGGGTTCTTCCAGAAATGTAGCTACTATTTGGAAGATCACCTCATTAAAATACTCTCCTTGTGAAGTAAAGGGCAGCTTTCTCTCCTCTTCACTGGAGGAATTTAGAAAAGGAGAGATGTCTACTCCAGGGGCTCTATATGCACACCTGCAGTTTCCTGGGGTGGCCTGGCAAGCAGCCCTTTGAGCTGCAGGAAAAGCAGAAGCAATGGGCATCTTAAAGCCCAGTCCTGCTCACCTTGGTCCTTGAGCAAGCAGAACTGTCTACAGAACTGTCCTGTGGGGCGGCTCAGAGATAAGCTTTTTTCGGAAATCACTCACCGGGGGCAGCTGGCAGGTGGTCACCGGCTGGGCGTCCCTGATACTCGGCTCCTGAACAAGGAAAACATCTTGCGGAACTGGAAGAGATGGAAAAGATGTCCCAAAGGGAGCCAGGCCTAGGCCCCAACACCTCCCGGACTCTGTGCTGCAGATTGTACAAAGAAAAGCAGAGAGGGAACAACGGCAGCGAGCATTCCTGGTGCTCCGCATAAACCCCCCTTTGCAAACCACAAGGGTTCTCGTAGTCTTTTCAAGTAGACAATGGGGGCTAGCACAGGGAGTACCTGGGTTTAGGATGGCCTGATCAATTAGCTATTCAACTTTCCTTGATTCAGGGACCTGTTTCATCATCTAAAATACGCCCAAGAGCCAGGTACAGTATTACATGCCGTAATCCCAGCATTTGGAAGGTGGAGGCAGGAGAATCAGCCAGCCTCAACTATTAAGAAACCATGTCTCGCTGGGTGGTGGTGGTGGTGGTGGTGGTGGTGGTGGCGGCGGCGGCAGCCGCACGCCTTTAATCCCAGCACTTGGGAGGCAGAGGTAGGTGGATCTCTGTGAGTTCGAGGCCAGCCTGGTCTCCAAAGCGAGTTCCAGGAAAGGCGCAAAGCTACACAGAGAAACCCTGTCTCGGAAAAAAAAAAAAAAAAAAAAAAAAAAAAAAAAGAAGAAACCATGTCTCAAAAAATAAACAACACAGGGCCAGTGAGATGGCTCAGTGAGTAAGGGTGCTTGCTGCTAACACAATGACTTGAGTTCAATCCCAGGCACCTACATTATAAAGACCCAGCTGTCCCCTGGCCATCACATGTATGCCATAGCATGTGTGCACTGACATGGATGCATATTTAAAAAAACCCAAGGGAAGGCTAAAATTGTGGCACTATGGTTCTTTGAGGGTGAGGACCCATGTGGGACCATATACATTTGTAAGCCTGACACCTGCAAAGCTCCACAAGAAAACTGTTATCCAAGTTAGTGAGGATGCAGAAAGAGAACCACTGTGTCATTACTGAAAATGGGAATTAGCACAGCCTTAGTCTTTTGCCTGTTCTCGGGACCCTTTTCCTCCTACTGGGGTGCCTCATCCAGCCTTGACATGAGGGGATGTACCTAGTCTTATCACATCCTGCTATGCCATGTTTGGTTGATATAGCTGGAAGACCTGCTCTTTTATGAAGGAAAATGGAAGAGCAGTGGATGAGAGGGAGGGGCTGGGTGGAGGGAAGGAAGGGGAAATTGTGGTCGGGATGTATTGTATGACAGAAGAATAAATAAAAAAAAAAAAAATCCACACATCTAATGTGTAAAAAAAAAAAAAAAAGGAAAAGAAAAACAGCCAGGTGGTGGTGGCGCATGCTTTTAATCCCAGCACTTGGGAGGCAGAGGCAGGCAGATCTCTGAGTTTGAGGCCAGCCTGGTCTACAGAGTGAGTTCCAGGATAGCCAGGGCTACACAGAGAAACCCTGTCTATCACTGGTGCAACATGGTGAACCTGGAATGCATATCCTACGAGAAATAAACCAGGCACAGGATGACAAGCACGGCCCAATTTTGCTCATATATAGAATTTAAAAATGTAGTACGGTACGGTGGTGCTACAAGGCCAGCATTTTATAGGCTGAGGTACAAACATCCAAACTCTGAGGCCAACTTGAGTTATACAGTGAGTTCCAGGCTAATGAGATGTGGTCTCAATAAACAGAATACACAGTGTATTATTTCCAAGCAAGTTCTAGAGTTCTCTGTGGTATCTGGAGGAAGTTTTAATTCTGCAATGCCCACCACCTATCATGGATGGATCGCTGTCTTATTTTACTCAAACAAAGCCTAGCTTTGGGGGAAGAGCTTCACAATTACAATATGTATCTCCAGCAAATCCTAGTATTTAATGTTTTCCCAAATGCTGTGCATCAGGAAATCCTGCACCGAGTATTGCTCAAGTAAGCAACCCAAAGCCAGAGTGGATGTTATGTTATCTCAGACAACTGGGATCTAGAAGATTCTTCACAGCAGGCCTCTCCCTGGGCATTCCTCCCCTAGGACTGCTCACCAGCTTGCATAGTGCTGTTGATTTGGGGAAATGGTTCTTTCCTTCTATTTCCAGATATATTTAAACTATGTCCCCTGGAAATTTACATGCTCAAATCCTAACCTAGACACCTCAGAATGTGACTGTATATGGAGAAAGGCTCTCCAAAGAATCAATTAAGCTAAAATGAGGTCACGTATGTGCATGGGCCCAATTCCAACATAACTGGTATCACTAAAGAGGGGGCAGTCAGAAGACAGTTAGTTACACAGACGGGAGGTGACAGCAAGAAGTGGCTGTCTATCCGCTAAAGCAAGAAGCCATGGCTGACCCGTCCTTCAGTTCAGGCCTGCTGTGAGAGAATAAACTGCTGTTAGGTAAGTGGTCCAGTGTGTAGATCCAGTGGCAGCCCCACCAAATCAATACACCAGCCTTCACTTTGAGCCAAGAGAAACCCAAGAGTTCTGATTTGTGCAGAAGTCAGTAAATGTCTACAGGCAGAAAAATTATATATATAGTGTATGTGTGTATATATATATACACACACATACATACATATATACACATACATATATACACACACACACACACATATACACATACACTATATATATATATGACACACACATGCACATTTTTCTTTAAACAAAGACTATTATTGCCAAGTGTGATCAAGCAGGCCTGTAATCGTGACACTCAGGAGGCTGAGGCAGGAGAGTCATGAATTTGAGGCCAACCCAAGAAAGGGAATCGGAAAAACAAAGAGAAAGGAATGAGAGGAGGAAGGAGAGAAGGAAAAAAAAAAAAACAGAGAACAACCTTTGCTTTTAGTTTGGGTGAGGTCCCGGAGAGTGAACCGGGGGGCTTACCCATGCTAGACAGATGCCCTCCCAGAGCTGTACCTCCTGCTCACTCAAAAGATTCAATGTCAGGAACAATGGCTGAAAATCACAAGAATGCACTTTCCCCATTGTAATCAGAGTAACAGGGCAAGGCCACCCAAACACGTATGAAACTTCAAGGTGCTCCAACTTTCCAGGGTCATTAGCCCAACTCGACCACCAGTCGGACAAAGAGAATGAATGGTGCGTGCATACGTTTTTCTTGTCCTTTAGCATTTACAGTGTAGAAGGCATTATCAAGAAACGAGAAACAAATGAAAGCACACAGAATATGTCTGAGTTATATAAAAATGCTGTGAACGGAGCTAGAACTTAGGAGGTTAAGGTGGGAGGATTGAGTTTCCGGCTAGACTGGGCGACACAGCTAGATCTCAGAAAACAGAGACAGGGTCTCACCCGCACCTCTAACTGGACTGCAACTCGCTCTGTAGACCACGCTGGTCTCCAACTCACAGAGATCCACCTGACTCCTCCTAAGTGCTGGGATTAAAGGTGTGCACCACCAGGCCACTATGCCAATGTTATACAAGAGGGACACACGGTCCCTAGGCCTTGAGGGGCTTTGGGGAACTGTCACCTTGAGAGCAAACCTCAAGGAACCAAGAGGTCACCTACTGTAGCTCAAGGGAATGGTGGCTCTGGCTTTGTGTGTGACACTCCCCCCTCTATATAGCTTTTGGATGCTTTGAATAGATACCAAAATCCTGCCACAAGGCACTGAGGCCATCTGCAGGAGAGGCCACAGTTCTCTCCCGGGGGATCTTAGATTTTCTTACAGCTGCAGGGTAACCCAGGCAAGACAATGTGGTTTTCAGAGGATGGAAGCTAGAGCCATGCTCAGATGAGGCCACAGGTCCCGGTCCTACAGTGACTCTATGTCTCTACTGAGAACACTCTCAAAGAAAGAGGACCATACAACATCACACCATGTGCTCAGAGGCCTTCCCTCTGGGAGGACTCAATCCCAGGAAGAGACTCTGGGTCAGCTGCTCTGCAAAGTTCAGAGGAGACAAGAGAAAACCGAATGTAAAGAAGCCATCGCCACAGTCCACACCAGAGCACACAGACGGTAACTCAGCTCCCCAACTCACGCGACAGGCTACATACTTGGGTCCTCAGTGGGCTGGCCTGGTGGTCTGCTTAGGAGCCCGAGGCCCTGTGCTAGGGCCACAGGCTGGGCATCAGGGTTGCTCTGGGACTCTGCTGACATTCGCTCCTGTTCCAGGTCCTGAGGCCCAGGCCCATCGCCATCTTCAATCACCACAGGGTCCTCACAGTGCTTGAGCTGTAACCCCGGAGAGAGCAGGTCAGGGCCAGGTGGACAGGAGTGCGACAGGGCCCTTCCTGCTGGCTCTGCACAGCTCTGCACAGGCCCCTCTCCCTTTCTGGTCCTGCTGGCCACGCACGACAGGTAACCATCATCTCAACTTGGACTTCAGAGACTAATGTTTGCTTTCTTAGGAAGCCAAATACTGCATCTAGACAGAATTTCTCCTCTTGAGCTCAGGGGTCTCACAAGGTCAGCAGGGCTCCCCTCTCCCAGATGCCCGGTGCTCACCCACTGCCAGGGTCTCCCTGGCTCCCGTTCCAGAGCCTCTACAGCAGCCACAGCCTGCTCTCCGCTCTCCGGCTCCTGGGCACGCACCCAGCTCTGGATCTCCCATGGCAGGATGGCCAGGAACTGCTCCAGCACCAGCAGCTCCAGGATCTGCTCCTTCGTGTGCCTCTCAAGCCGCAGCCAGCCCCGGCACAGCTCCCAGAGGCGCTGCAGGGCCTCCCGAGGGCCTGCGGCCTCCTGGTAGCGGAACCGGCGGAAGAGGCGTCGAGAGGACTCTGGGCTGGGAGGCTCACCCTGAGGGCTGGGGTTCTCTCCAGGAGGACTCCGCATTTTCCTGGGCTCCTCACTTTCCTTTGGAGCCAAGACTCGTGGGCACAGGGCTGTGGGCATGATGGGATTTGATGGGGGTCAGCGGCAGAAGACGACCCTATTTCCAAACAGAAATCGCTGGCTTCAATGCTCTGGTCTTCTGTGGTTGTTTCTGGGGGGTGGAGGTGGTAGACAGAGCCCACGGGAGACCAGCCCTTTGAGGAATCCCTGGGAAATGTATGAAAGGTTGGTGTGGCTGGTCCTTACACATGGGGACAGAAAGAAAGATGGCCCTTCCCACCAGCATCATTCCATGTAGATTCCCCTAACTGGTGGCAGTGGAGACAGGAAATCTGGGGAGAAAAGTGGTGGCATTTCAACAGGACACTGGCAATTCCAGCATCCCAGGAGCAAACAAGGCCACATGCAGACACGTGAAACCAGGACCTGTGATACCTTTGTGGACAGGTCCTCTTGGAGGATATAGCCCCAGCAGGCCGCAATCTTGAAGCTCTGAAGCCAAAGTCACTGTCGCTGTTCTTGAGATCTTCACAAACTGATCTGAAAGGGGAAAAAAAAAAGCGAAGGATGAGTCATCCAAGACCATCGAGGGGGCACCGCCACTCTGCCAAGGACAGATGGGTGGACAGGGGCCCAACAGAGCCTGCACTCTGTGTGTCGGCGGGGGCAAAAACTTCCAGGCAGAGGAGGAACTCAGAGACAGCCGCAGAAGTTTACCGGAGAGAAAGAACACTATTTAAACAACCCCGTCCCTAGGCCTAGGGGTGCAGCTCAGTGGCAGAGATGCAAGGTCCTAGGTTAGTGCACCAGAACTGCTCCCCTCCCCCAAATATCAGCGCTTTATGACAAGCCTTACACCAAACTTACACAAGCCTTACAACATGGAGCTATAATCTTTCTCCTATATTTAAAGGCCATTGGTGTCTGGGGGCTGGAGAGACAACTTAGTGGTTAAGAGTGCACACTACTGTCCCCATCATCCACCCCAGGCAAGTTGTTCACAAAGCCCTTGAATTCCACCAACTCCAGGGTCTCTACCACCTCCTTCTGACCCCCATGGGCACTGCGCTCAAGCGCATACACCTATACACAGATGTCTACTCAGGTGTACACATAATTTGAAAAATAAAATCTTAAAAATAAAAAAATTCTAAAAAGTTACTTGCTAGGCATGGGGGTGTGTGATTAAAGTGTGTGTGTAAAACAATGTCACAACTAGAGAAAAAGAGGCCAAGATTTTGAGGGGGAGGGGACATGGGATGGGCTGGAGGAAAGGGAAGGAGAAAAATGATGTAATTACATTTTAGTATCAAAAATGTGATTAAAAAAAAGAAAGAAACTACTTGAATCTCATCGGTTCCTATCCCTTGCTCTTTCCAAATCATGCTCAAGGCAGTGGTACACATTGATTTATTTCACAGACCTTCCTGGTCATGAGGGAAGGTCTCTCGTGACCTTCCGCTCGCAGGAACTCTTGGCGCCACCGACTGCCACACACACACACACACACACACACACACACACACACACACACACACAGCCACACACACGTGGTGGGGCTCGGGTTCTCTATACCCCCCTGGACATCACGTACGCAACAGAGCAAACACACCAGGGACAGAGCAGAGCATGGTCACTCCGCTTGACCTGTGTTCTCCGACCCATGCTTCCGAGCACGAGGAGAAAAGTCAAACGGAGACACACAGGGCTCTGCTCTCAGGACTCTGGGAACCCCAGGCAGGGCCACTGACCCTTCACACCCTCACCTGGAAGAGATTCCTAGCCGGGCAGCACCACTCTGCCGGAAGACAAGCGACACCAGAAAAGCCACCAAGCAACCGAACACCACCTGGAACCCCAAGTTTCCTGTATCCCTTTGATTTCCGAAGTCAAGACCGACAGACAGCCGGAGCGAAACTCCGAAAGCAACAGGCTGTGAACCGCGACTACTCTCACATCTTTCTCCGGCATTAAGAACCCCATCTGGGCCCCGCCCGCTCTCTTCCCAGCTTCCTCCGCCCACTATCTCCCACCTGCTGGGCCCTGAATGGCTCAGGCCTAACCCCATGGTGGGGTACCCCGGCGTCCCACCCTCAGCACTCGGCTCCGCGGGGGGGACTGCTCGGAGAACCCCGGGGCCAGACAGGCGTCTGCCTCTTTGTCACCCTGGCACCTGGCGCGCAGGAGCCTCGGCAGCGGAAGCTTTATGAATGAACTACCGTTAGTGAGGGGAGGGCTCCCCCAGGGGCGGGGCTTGCCCAAAGCAGTTACCGAAGGAGCAGGATCGGAGGAAAGGAATGCGGAGGGTGTTTTAGGCCAGGAGAACTATGGGGTTTCTGTCGCTTACACTCTTCCAGGTTTGCTGGCTCTTCACCTCGAAGCCCGGGACTGCAGGGTAGCAGGTTCTCACCTTCCAGCCCGGTCTCCCTGGTGTCTCCCCCGAGGCGGCTCCTCTGCATGGGCCAGATTCCGTTCCTGGCCAGGCCAACCCTGTCTCGGGATCATCTAGGGAGCATCAGCTGGGCTTGGGAGCGAAGGGAGCCGCCTGAAACACAATCGTATTGCTTCATCCCCGAGGGCACCGATGAGGACGCAGCGCTGGGAGCAAGGCTCAGGGCCAGGGCGCGGGAAGTGGAGAACAGGGAACAGGACCCAGGGCGCGGGGCTGGGGATCAGAGCGCGGGAAGTGGGGAGCAGGATCCGGGTTCAGGCAGCAGGACATGGGGAACAGACCACGGTATACTCACCGCTGAGCAGCGTCCCGGTTGGCGGGCCGCGCAGGCCGGGCCGCCGCGGAAAGGAAAGGCCGGAGCCCTCCGGCTCCCTCCCCTGGGACACTTCCTGCACCGCTCTAGGACCGAGGAGGTCTCCTCATCTCAGTGGTTCGCTTCCCCGCCTCCCGGCCGAGGTGTACGCGGGGGGTGACATCCGACACCCCCGGCCCGCGCGGCCCGCCCCGCCCCGCTCTGTGCTCGCCCGGCTTGGGCGCGGGGCCCGGGCTTCGGCTTTGTGGGCCTCCGCAGCTCGTTAGGGATGCGCGCGTCCCGACGGGACCCGGGCGCTGGGGGCCAGTTCGCGCGGCCACTAGCCAGGGAGGCCGGCCTGGGGCGCCGCTCTTCCCTGCTCCTCTCTTGTGGGCGCAGGGAAGGGCCGGTCTGGCGGCGCTGGCGGAATGCCAGAATTGGGAGGAGGAGAGATGAGGTGTTGGGGGATTGCTCTGTGACCACCCGCATCCAGTCTGTGCCGGTGTGGCCCAACCCCTTCCAGCCAAAATTCCATTTCAAAGCCAGCGCTTCCAGAGCCACCCAGGCCAGCAAGGCTGGAGAAAGGCAGACCCGGCGATCCACTAGGCACGCCGAAGCATCGGCCAGCGCCTTCGTGGCGCGGAAATCATCCGCTGTATCTCTCTGTTTAAGGAAGGCTGTAGCGTCCTGTGTTCTGTGAGCACTAGGACGGTCCTGGTGAGTACGGAGAGAGAAGGCTGCCAATCCTGAGAGTGAGAGTCAGGGAGCTTGTGGCTGGCTTAAAGAGGTTGATACATTGCATAGAGACAGGACAGACTTTTACTTCATCACGGAGAGTGAGAAGCAACCAAGAACTAGGGTATCAGAACCGATTCCTGCTGTATCTGTCCTGTGCTGAATAGAGTCCAAATCCTCCCCACATCTGTTCTCCGGGGCTGGACAATGGAAGCAGACTGTCAAATGGAAGAGGCAGAGGAAGTTCTGCCCAGAAGTAAGCGACTGTGCTGATTTTCTAAGGATCCTCTTTCAAGGGTACATAGAAGGAAGTCGGTTCCCTTAAAGAAGGTAGCTTGATGGAGACACCCCGTCACCGGCAGACTGTTTATGTCTTGTGGGTCTGTGTACTTCCATTTCCTTTCATAACTGGGATAATCACTTCCGACTAGTAGGTATCGAGTCAAACGTTCAGATTTTGTGACATTTAGGAGATGAACCAAGTGGGTGAGTGAATGGTTTGTTCAAGTGCGGCAAATCCGAACCAGGGTCCCCCAGGGCTGGGACTTGAGACTTGTAGAGTAGGAGCCACCTTCAGCTTGTCTAGATCACAGTGCATGCCAGTCCCTTCTCAGGAACGTCAGCTGGGAAGCACAGCCTAGACTCGAGGTCCTAGAGCAGTCAGAGACCCCCAAGGCCGGTCAAGCCTAGCAAGTGGCCAGCTGAGCATCCTGAAGGACTGCTGTTTAAGCTCCTGGCTGCTAGGGTTCCTGTGCTCCCTTATTTCAGCCCTCAAGCAGGTAAAATGCAGGGCCAAGAGATGGCTGGTACACTTCATGTGACTCCCCCCCCCCCACCCCTCCCCTTCAGTTTCTTCCCTTGGTCTCACACCTCTCAGCATTCAGGTCCCCTCTCCCTGTTTGGTGGCTGCCTAGGGCTCTAACTATGCCTTCCTTTTGTGTTTCTTCTGCATTGAGCCCGGCCTGTGGGCTGGGAGTCAGAACACCTGTGTTAAACCATGCCCATCAAGGCCCAGTCAGGTGATCTCAGGCCTGCCTCACCTTTATGGGGCTTCAGGTGCCTCACATAGAAGGCAGGTGATGCTGTCTGCTTCATTTTGTGGTCATTCAGGAAATGTGTACTGAGCGTCCACAGGGCATCTGCAGTTTGAAGCTCCCATCCAGATCCCTGGGCACATCTGGACACATCTGGACACACCACCGGCCATCGGGAGAGTAAATGATGAGCAGAGCCAGGTGCTGGTTTGCAGAGCACGAGAAGAATCCAGAGCAGAGGGGCAGCCTCAAGGCAGGAGTGCCGAGCAGGGCCTAAGGGTTGTCACCTCACTGGGTTGAAGATAGGGTGGATCAGACATCCCTGCAAAGGTGATCTCCGGAATGAAGCTGAGGTGTTGGGGCTCTGGGGCAGCACTGGAAGCCGCAGGAGGACATTGTGCTCTATGACAAGCAGGCTTCTGTGAGGAGTTCTGGGTGAAGTACCCGAGGGCACTCTGCCCGTGATCCCTGCTCTGTTGTCACTGGCACATGCTGTGCCAACGATCCCCCATGTCTGCTACCACTGGTCAGTCAGGGTGCCAGCTTCGAAGTGAGGGGGACTTTTATTCTTGCCGAGAGAGAGAGAGAGAGAGAGAGAGAGAGAGAGACTCAAAAATCAACTTTTCAGCCCTTGGGTGTGGGGATGTTATAGCTGTGTGATAAACGAGGGAAGCTGAGTGCCAGAGTGTGTGCCTCTGATCCCACCACTTGGGAGGCCGAGGCAGGAAGATGGAGAGCTGGAGGCCAGTCTAGACAACAAGACCAGACTCTATTTCAAGGGGGCAGCGGGTGGGGAGAGGAAGGGAGATGGGGGGAGGGGTCAACTAATAAAATAGGAATGTTAATTTTTTTCTGGGGTTTCTGGAAAATTTCCAGGGATCTGGGTGTCTGCTTACATTCCTTTTGTGGTTCTTGACAATTATTAACAGCCAGGAGATAGGAGGTATTGTTCAGCTTGCAGATGGGATTATAATGAAGGTAGAGCTTCATTGTGTCTTAAGATAGCTGAGACCTAGCCAGTTTCTGCTGGCCCACCAGAAGAGGGACTTTGGCCGTTAGACACCCAGCTCTCTGAGAGGGCTGGGAAGAGGTAGGAGTTTAGCTAGGGCCACTGAAGCAGGACTCAGGGCGACACAAGAGGAAACGAAGAAAACCCGACTTCAAGAAGCTGGAAGGGGAACGAAATAATAGATGATGTCAGGACTGGGGCTGTAGCGCAGTTGTAGAGCCCTTGCCTAGCAGAAGGCGCTGGTTCAGTCTCCAGAACCTTATAAGTGGACAGGCTGATGCACACCTGTATCCCAGCATACAGGAATAGAGATGGGGGGGGGGATCAAAATTCAGTCCTCAGCTACATAGCTAATTTGAGGAGTGAGGCCCTGTCTTAAAAGACACAGTATGCAGGGCTCACAGGGGCTCACAGAGACTAAACCCACAATCGGGGAGCCTGTATGGGTCTGACCTAGGCCCTCTGCATATATGTTATGGTTGTGTAGCTTGGTGTTCTTGGGGGTCTCCTAACAGTGGGAGCGGGAGCGGTTTCTGACTCTTTGCCTGCTTTTGAGACCCCTTTCCTCTGACTGGGTTGCCTTGCCCAGCCTTAACATGAGGGGATGTGCCTGGTCTTACTACAACTTGATATGCCACGTTTGGTTAATATCCCTGGAGGCCTGCTCTTTTCTGAAGGGAGAAGGAGGAGTGGATGGGGGAGGGGGAGGGGCTGGAAGAAGAGGAGGAAGGGGAAACTGGTCAGGATGTGATATATAAGAGACAAATAAGCCGGGTGGTGGTGGTGGTGGTGGTGGTGGTGGTGGTGGTGGTGGTGGTGGTGGTGGTGCATGCCTTTAATCCCAGCACTCGGGAGGCAGAGCCAGGTGGATCTCTGTGAGTTCCAGGCCAGCCTGAGCTACAGAGCGAGATCCAGGACAGGCACAAAGCTACACAGAGAAACCCTGTCTCAAAAAAACAAACAAAAAAAAAGGAGACCAAAAAAAAAAAAAATGTTATGACCAAAGGTGCTCATAATCCTATAAGCAACCCTAATAAAACTTACTAGGACACACACACACACACACACACACACACACACACACACACACACACACACAATGGATACAATCAAAATACTTTAGAGACATATAGAAAATGACAATGAAATCCTTTTTATAACTAATGTATGTTGTTCAAAAGTATTCAAATGCCAATAAGATAATGCCATAAAGTGATAGATGCCTTAATGAAAAAAATAGGGAAAAAGCCAAGAAGATGGAGTTTGCTTGCTCAGACAGACTGAACAATGCTAGGCCAAACTCAATAGCAGGTTGTTGTCCCCGCCACCCCAAACACACTAATTACACACATTCAGGGCTGGACACAGTGTTGCACATCTGCAATCCTACACTCAAGGCTGAAGCAGGAGGAACAGACTTTAAGGATCGCCTGGGACATCAGTGGAAGAGGGACTGAGAATGTAGTTCAAGTTGGTACAGTGTTTGTCAGTGTGCACCAAGCCCTAGATTAAACGTTAGCATGGCAAAAAACCAAGAATGGTTATTACATGGCTGTAATCTAGGCACTTGGGAGCTGGGGCCAGGAGGACCAGGTGTTCAAGGTCGTCTCCTATATAGTGAGTTTGGGGTCAGCTTGAATTAGATATCCTGTCTGAAAAATACAAATTGATGAGCTACAGAGTGCCATTTTCATGTACACATGCCTTGAGTAATCTATATACCCGCCCTCTGCACAGCCTTCCTGGTCTTCAGGAAGCTCTAGTTTTCTTTTAGGTTGACTTATTTGTTTATCATTGTTTTGAGACAGTCTTACTGTGTAGCCCTGACTGGCCTAGAACTCACCGATCTGCTTGCTTCTGCCTCCTGAGCGCTGTGAGCCAAAGCATGTGCCACCGCACCTGGCTCTTAACTTAAAAAAGTTTGATTGCATTTATTTATGTTTGCAGTGTGGGCAGATGTGCGTGCCAAGGCACACTCTGGAGGTCAGTGCACACCTTGCAGGGATCAAATCTTTCCTTCTACTTGGTGGGTCCTGGGGACCAAACTCAGGTCACCAGGCTTCCTAGTTAGTACCTTTACCCACTGACGCATCCCAGCAGATCGGTTTACTCTTTCTTTTCTTTTTTTTTAACCTTTCATGTGTGGGAGAGAAGGAAGGGACCATGCAGCGTGTTTTTTTTTTCTTTCTATGCTACCATTTGATGTCTTCGTGTTCTATCCATTTGGCTGTAAGTAACAGAATTACCCTCTTTATGCCTGAATACAACTCCACTTTGTATATTGACCCTATTTTCTTTATACGTTCGGCTGCAGATGGCTCGTGAACTGATTCCATATCTTAGTAGTAAACAGGAAAGGAGGGAAATGGCTACTCTGTGTCTCAGATGCTGTCTGATGACATTCTTAGCTTTGGGGCTGTTGGGAGTGAGCGGCCTGTTAATACA